CGAGCTCCTAGGGTACATGCCTGTGAAGCAGCGTTCAGGGTTTAGTGTGTGCCGCTGTCCGCAGACCCCACACGGCTGCAGCGACCTTCGCACACTCCGGGAGCTGCGTGCACGGACTTTGAGTTTGTGGGAGAGGCTGGTTCTTCATGCAAGTTGCTGCTGACCCTTGCTCAGTCCCAGGGCCTTGGCGGGTGCTCAGCGCCCCTTTCTGCTTTGTTAGAGGAGAAGCACTGGCCTCAGGGAACACCATCTGACATTACACTCGGCGACGCCTGTCCGCATACATGTGACTACTGTGAAGGTGAGTAGGGCGAGGCATCACGAAACCACTCAACGCCAGCCACAACATTCCACCAGCTATCTGACGCCTACAGCGGCTGAAGCAGTCAGCCACGAGTGACGTCCTAAACTATGACAGCGAGGTGCATTGTGGGCATACGCCAGAAAGATGGAGGCGAACACGTGCGATATACTGATGGGGGTTGCACCACTTGCGGTTCATGAAACCCTTTCCCTCGACTTCTAATACCCCGTCTCCGTCCCCTTGTTCTGTTGCCACTTGCGTGTACCTACCTTGCAGAGTCAGTGCTGATGCGCATGCGTCAGCCAGTAGAGGATGAACCAAGCTGTCTCGGAGGTTGCTGCGACAACAAAATGGTGGAGCAAGAAACAGGTGAGCTAGATGGCCCCAGCATACGGGGACAAAACCTCCAGCTGTAGTGGCCCAGAAACATTCCACATACCCGCGTGTCTCTATTTACAGCGACGCGAACAATTCCAATGGACCTGCAGTTTCTTTGCTCCTCTTGTTCTCTCACAGGCTACACTTGCAGGCAAATTAAGGACTTTTTGAACGGCGACTGCTCCGTCGAGTTGGAGTCTCTCTCCAGCACACCGTTGCCGCCAGAAGTTCCCAAAGGCGCGACCCTACGAGATGCCTGCCCGTACACTTGTGGGGCTTGTCCGGCTCAGCAATGCGTAGATAATCCAATGGTCCAGCAAATGGGGTACTCTTGCGATATGCTGATCGCCGCAGCAGAGGGCAGAGGAGGGTGCGAGGCCCTTTTAACATCACTCAGCGGGGAGCCGCTGCCTGCAGGAGTCCCTCCCACCACCAGAGTCCGTGATGCATGTCTCAAGTCTTGCAATGCGTGTCCTCCACTCTTTACTGGCTCGGGAGGGCCTGAAGCAACAGCCGCTCCAGGCGGTGCCGCAGCAGCACCAGACTGTTTCGACGATGGCCGTCTCCCTCAACTGGGGTA